ATGTATGTATAAGTTGCGGATCTGTGTGCATGTATGTATGTGTGTGTTATAATTTTTATTTTTAATATAGAGCATTTTTTTCTATAAAACTAAGAAATTTAAGAATTAATTTTTACAAAATTTTTATTTTGTGAATAAAAATAAGTTCTTCAATAATTATGAATAGTGTTTCAGAAGATAACAATATTTTCGAAGTCACAAAACAAATAATATATGAATAACTTGGAAAACCGGTCGGATTATTTTTTAACGATTGTTTTGCCACAGCCGACTCTCCTTGAAAGAGTTGCTTTCGATCGAGAAATTTTATTCTTATCGGATCATTCCTGTGAAATCGTTGCGAAGGTCAAAATTCTAGCGATTTATAGTTAATCTAAAATAGGCATATTATTCGAAATGCAGAGTTCTAATGAAATAATGTGCACGAATTCTTAGAGAAAAAGAATTGAGATTGGAGAACAATAAAGAAAGTGCAAAAAAATTGTTATAAATTTTCTAGTTATAAAAAGTTTATATTATTTGAAAGTTTTATGATTTTCAACCTTGTATTACTTATATTTAAGTCAATTTTTCAAAATCATTAATTTGATAAAAGATTAGTGTGCCATAAAGGGAAAATTAAACTCATGAAACACAAAGGATGATATTGTAAGTATGAAATGATTAAATTAAACTTCAAAATTGATTAAACAAAAAATAGAATGAAAGGAATGGAAAAATGTGATTGTAGAGATAATTAGATTATAAATTAGTAATAGCAATATGTGAACGCAAAAAATTGTGTGTGTATGTGTGTATTTTTGCAAATTATTTGCTTAAAAATATTTACTAAAGATTTATACTTATCATCTTTATTTTTTTGCTATTTTGTTAAATACTTTACATGAATTTTAATTATTTTAAAAAATTAAATTTATTTTTAAATTATTTCAGATAATTAAATAAATAGGTATATATGTTGATATTAATAAATATTAAAAGTAGAGTATAAAGAATATAAAATTTATTTCATTTTATTTCTTAAATTTTGCAAATTTTTCTAAATTTTTAATTATTTGCAACTTGAAAACTTAGCATTTTCACGTTTTTCGATCAAGATAATATTACTATAAATTTGCTCTAATATGTATATGAAAATTTCTGGTCTTATGTCCTGTTATAATCTATGTATTCAACTAGTGAAGAAAGAAAGATTGAGGATGACCTGAGTGCATAGCAGAAAGTACATTGGCTTCAACTTGTCTCAAAACGTGGATGGCATATTAACGATGACTTAATTTAAGTATGGTTTACCTATCGGCACTAACGTACATGAGTACTGTGTGTCGCATGTGCGTTTAGCCAGTTCGTCAGCAATTAATAATCCTATACAAGAACTCACTCATTTACATACGTGATCGCGAGGAGAAGTGTGGAGAGTGCGACGCCGACTGCGAGGACGACTTGGAACCGTTATGAATCTTTTTGAGGCCAGTTTTGTTCGAACAACCGTTTGCGAGCCTGCGAGTCTTCTGCGAAAATTGTTGATTCCTTAACGAACGTTCGGAACTTTCGGAAATTATATTTTTTCTTGTAAAGTGAAATAAAAAATACTTCAAAATAGAATATCTAATTTCTTAAGTGGTTTCAGAATTGACTATTAAAATTAAAATTTCTTCAAAATTGATTCAAAATTTTTTAAAGACAGCATTATACATAAATTTTTTTTTTAAGTGATTCTTATTATTGAGTTGTGATAAAGGGAGCATAACAAAAAAATTAGTGAATTTTATTATATATAAAATAAATATTTAAATTCTATATTGATAAAAGAGATATCTCATCATGAAAATATTATGCAGCTTTATAATGATGGGAATACTTCAGTTAGTAAGTGAATTATTGTTCCTATTATATATTATTAATATATAATATTTCTAAGATATATTACATTGTTTCGCATTTGTAGTTATTGTAGTCATTAATTGTTGCTTTTATTTTTTAATAAATAAAAACATGAAAGTGCTAATATAACTGAAATTGATTGGTTTGATCGAACGTTAAGATATCATTTAAAGAATTTAAACTTTTATCTTCGATCGGATTTATAGTTTTGATTTTGCGATTCTAAGCTTAATTATATATGTAATGTTTAATGTTATACTAATAACATTCTTGTCTAGTTTCTATTTAATATGAAATAGTTTCGTACAAATATGTGTTTATAGTTATATAATCCTGACTAACGGTTTAGAGAGTTATGTTTAGTTATGTGTAATTTTAGCGGATATAATTAAAATTCCTTGTTATCTTAGGTTATTGCCGCAATCGTTAGGAAACCACCGGTCTTTTCAACACCTATGTATTCAAATTCATATCTTCCTGCTGCCATGCAAGTGAGTCTTAAGTTGAAGAAAAGTTATATAAAGTCAAGTTTTTTCGTATGTAATCATGTGATATTTCTTATTTTATACATAATAATCTAAATTAGACATATTTCATTGTTTTTTTATCATTTTGTTAAAATATTACTTGATATATTCTTTTTAATCTATTTAATATATTCTTTTTAATATATTTAAATTAAAATCATAATTGTGTGCGATGCAATGCTAAATATTTTTATTCTCTTCTTTATTTCATATCTCTGTTTGCTTAGAAAAAAATTATATAGCTTCAGTTCTTGAAAAATATAATATTGAAAAGCTAATTTATACAATGTATTTTTAAAACAGGTAATTTTTCATGCGGTCGAACAATTAAAACTACTTCAAGTGGAAGAAACGCAAGTAGATTTAATGTCTTCATCAACATCGATAAAACATCAACAATTGCAATCAACAACGCAATCGATGAAGGATCAGCAATTGCAATCAACAACGCCTAAAGGGATAATATCAAATGTTACAACCGAAAAAGTGCACGATGAGAAGACAGAAGCTTCCGAAATATTAATTTCGACTTTATCCAGTGAGATATTGAATCAAGGACCACCTAAGATTTATAACAATTCGACAGAAGTCATTCAATACTTAGCAACTAATAGCGATTATAAAGAGACACCTGAAGTAAATGAAGAAATGACTGAAACGAATTACGAATTACCGGCTACACCGGAAATGAATTACGAATTACCGGAGCATATGCACGTGATCCAGGAATCGGATCAGAAAGTTTTGGGGCAGAATGAAGAAAAATCTTCAAGTATCGAAAGTTCTAGCGAGATAGTAAATATTCAAACTCCGCAATATACTGTATTGGAACAGCAATCGACACAAACTTTTTTGACACAGACATCAGAAGGTCAGAAAAAAAGGAACCGAATGTTGATAGTGTCGTAGATGAAATTTACGGAATTATAAAAACAACCACGTCTCTATTTAGCGAAGAACCGAGTGATTCCAAAACAAAGAGCACATTAGAAATTTCAATAGAAAAGATGGAAAACATTGAAGATGAAAGAGAAGAAATAAGGTGATAACCTTTTATTATAAAATTATTACGATATAAAAAATTATTGTTTAGAACAAATATTAAGAAGATTCGATGATAGAATGCAGAGATTATACAAATATATCTCATAATTTGTAAATTCTTCTTCGCAACTGCTCCAACTTATTACACATTGGAATTAACATTATTCCTTTTTGTCCATTCCTTCTTCTATTCTTTTAATTCCTTTCCACTTCTATTTGTACTTTTCTCATTATCTCTTCTACTTTTTTCCTTTTTTTTTTTCCTTTTTAATTATCTCTTATCATCCCTTTAATTTATCTTATCATCATATTCTTTCTTCTTTGTTCTCTTATCTCCATTTTTCTCTCCAATTTCTTTTCTCTATTTTCCATTTCTTTATTTTTTATTTTTTTTCCTGTTTTTCCTTCTTTCCTTATCTTCCTTTGCTCTTCTCTCCAGATCGTTCAGTCTCATCTATTGTCTACTTCTCCTTTTTTTTCATGTCTTCTCCCTTTCTTTTATCTTTTAATTTTTCTCATTTTTCTTTTATCCCTCTTGCTTTATACTTTCATCTCCTCTTTAATACTTTTGTTAATTCCCTTTTCTACTCCTCCTTAATTATTAATGCTATCAAATATTTCTCTTCCTTCTTTCTTAATTCTCTTAATATTTTCTTCTGAGGCAGTCTTTGCACTTTCTTCCTTGCTTTGAAATTTTCTTGCTTTTTCCTTCTTCTCCTTTTTTCTCTTCTATTGTTCAGAAAAATACATAGTTGCTTTAAAAAAATTATGCAATTTGCAATATGCAAGTATTTTTTTTACAAACAACTATATATTCTATAAAAATTTTAGTGATAGCATCAATAGATAATTATTTTTGACGTAATTGGTAAATAATTATACAATATAAGTATGAACATGGTTATGAATTTCTTTTGACACATGTCCTAACATCTCGCTATTAAATTGATATTTTGTGATATGTTTCGATTAATTATATTCAGGATGTCCGGTATCGGTCGTATCATCTCTCATGGATAGGTAGAGCTGATAAAATTGAGTAGAAAAGTCCTAGGTGCGCGTGGAATTGTTTTTTTTCAAGCAGCAATAGCTATAGCCAATATATTGAAGAAAACAATTCCTCATGTGCCTAGCAACGATAATCACCGAGCGAAAATATCTTATATCGCGCTTACATTAGCCGGTGGGCCGGGCTAATATGGTGATTTAAGAATTAATAACTCGATAATCATCGCGGAAATTGCAAAATGGTAGGAGACTTTTCTACTCAGTTTTATTAGCTCTACCTGCTCACGGGAAGTGATACGACCGATATCGGACACCTTGTATACAAATATAATTGTAGTAGCTCTAAGAGAATCAAGGAAAATGAGAACATATATACTTAATTCTAGGTATTAATAAAGAATACGTATTTAACAAAATTTGTTGCTTTTGTTGTAGCAGATTCTCATTATTGGGCGAAAAAGTAGCTCAAGTTCCTCGTCCAAGTTTGAACAGCTATATAAGACGTATTAAAGTGCCAGCAAGACCAGCACTTCAACAACTGGCAAATCTTTATGATGCTCTCAGTAAAGACGCGCGGAAACAAGGATTCGCACGTTTTGCCGGATATTCGGACGAAGTTTTGAAAGCTTTGCAATCATCTGCTGAGGGTGGTATCGGACCGCAGCTAAAGAAGCTTCTAGAAAAAGTGTTAGAGAGAAACGAACTCACTAGAGATGACGCAAAAATGAGGACATCGCAAGCATTACGTGATCTCGATGATCCTGCCAGTGCACTCAGCAAAGATCTAAGACGTTTATTACCATTACGTTATACATTTTAACTCTTTCAAAAAAGTAAAATGTTCTTATATTTTTTGGAGACAAAAATAAGAATATTGTATTAGAATAAAATTTATTTTTTTTAATAGATAATTATTATATCTTTATGGATTATAGAAAAAATAATTGATTTCAAAAATTTCTTCGATATTTTTTTTCAACATAAGTGTGAAAGTTTAACAAATGAGTATTTAATATGTTTTATTCAGAATTATTCTTTGCGTAAAACTCTTATTGACTCATTGCAATCATGTTGAATTATGTTTCTGTTTAGTAATATTTGCAATCAAACAGACTTGTAAAATACATCAAAAATTTTCTTTTGATCCAGTAATCAAATAAATAACTATATATCTAGAATTGATTTGTGGTTCTGCTCTCGATTAGGTATCATTCCTTTCTGAATATACGCTCCATAAGCAAAATATAATATATAAATATAAAATTAGCAGTATGTATCAACATATTGACAATAGATTTGATTAACATGTCAGTAAATTGGTATCAATTGCGTCCATATTCAGTTTTCTTCTGACAAAGGCTACGTTTCGATTCACAATTACAGGCTCGTAAGCATTTATCCTAATTTAACATTTGATAATAAAATAACATTTGACAAAAATAAAATTATTATATGAGCGCTATAAGCACGAGTCGGAATACAATCATAATCTGCTCACATAATCATATATAGCTATAGATTGATGGCAAAAACTGACATATTTATCAGTAGATTGGCTCTTGTTTATAAGATTCTTATTTTATAAATATTCTACATCATTGATACAAGACAATCTTTAAAATAAAACTTTTTTCATTGCTTTCCATTTCCTATTTTGAAAAAACACATTTATATTGTTTTATTAAAGAATTTATTAAATAACTTTTAAATAAATAAATTTGATAAAAAAATCTTTTCCTTTCTTTATATATTATATATGTGTGCTTTTTATAAATGTATGTATGTGTTTAAATAGATTTTTCTTTGATTCTCTGAGATTATGTCATATTCTTGTCCTGTCATATTATAGCATCATTTTTAATTAAATTATTCGATTAAAAGTTTCATTATTAAACTTGTTATTTTATGTTCAAGTCGATCAAATGCAGTTCATAAGTGCCTGATGAAACACTTTAATTTTCAAATCGCTAGATGGCATTAACATACTAAATTTACTAAAGTCGTTTAGCAAAACAAAGCAATCACCGAATAAATGATTATTAATTTTTGCTGTTATATGAATAAAAATTTGATCTAAATTTAGACAATTATTCAACATTAATGAAGTACTTAAGGGGATCCTAAATGTCCTGTTATCGACCAAACCTATTAATTTTCCGGCACGCTAATTTTCTAATTACATTTGCAAATTTAAGAATCCTTTTCCACAATTGAAGTATACGCACCTATCTAAGTCATACCAGTTGACTTACCGAGAATGAAAAATTTAAGAAATTTCGATCTTTTTTAGTCCAATATGGTGTCAAAAGCTGTCAACATGTGCGAATATTTGCTTCATATAAAAATTTGGCAGTCTATTTGTAAAATAAGATCGGTAGAAAATGTGAATTACATACAGGAACAATATAGAGTTTTTACAATTAGGCTTGAAAATGTGATATAAAAGATTAGCGTGCCTAAAAATTTATTCACATGTGTATCATGTGTGTACAGAAATGTATGTGAGTGTACGTACACATAAATATATCTATGTACATTTAGATGTGCATGTGTGAACGTTTTCGTCAGAGTCGCTCGTCAGTTTAGAATCCCCTTAACTGTATCTTTTAAATGTAGCCAAAAGTTAAAAAAGTTACAAAGTTAAAAAAAACAAAGAATAATTAAATAAAGAAATAAAATAAAAGTAAATAAAATAATTAAACAAAGAATAATTTCAAAAAATAGTTTCTTAAATTATAGATTATCTCAAAACATATATTCAATAAAAAATTAAAATACAAAGGTTTTATTTTTTCAATACTTAATACTTACCTTCTTTTTTTTCTGCGAATAAATTATTTGATTCATTACATTTTCTTGTATAACAAAATATTAGTATTGTGAAACATCATCAAATGTTACAATCATCACATTGCAATGTAAACATTGCATTTTTCTTAAGTTTTATAATAAAATGATGAAAATATAAATATCAAATTTGTAAGTATATAAATATACTTAAAGGGATGTTAAACTGATGAGCGAACTCCGACGAAAATGTTAACACACATATGTACATCTACACATATATAGATACATTTATGTATACATACATACATACATACATTTCTATACACATATATACATATATGAACAAATTTTGTAATACTCCCCTGTTCATAATAGTGTCTAATTCTAAATATAATTCTAAGAATTCAATGTTGCTTTTTCATGTAATCTTCTAGTTTAGCAATATCAGTTTTGTAGGTACACTGTAAAAGTTTCATAAAGCAAATATTTACGCGACTTGATAGCTTTGGATGGACGCCATTTTATGGTAAAAAAGACCTAAATTTTAAAATTTTTTCTCCTTCTTGATACGAAATTCATATACTAAACACGTATTAATGAATAAACTTTAATTGTGGAAAAGGATTTATAAAGTTAATAAAAAATGAGAGCAATACAAAAATTATTGCATTTTGTCGGTAATACAGACAAATTTAGCATCGCCTTAACTTGTAACTATAAATTTTTGAATGTTCTCAGTGCTACAAATATTATAATATCGATTGAAGTTGGTAAATATGATATTGACACAAATCATAAACATCTATGGGTGCTTTCCATTTAGTGATATAAATCGACACAAGTATCGTTCTATCTTTCTTGAAAATGATACTTGTGTCGACTTGTGTCACAAATGGAAAGCACCCTATTTTTATATACTAGACCGCTAACGTGCCTCAAATATATGGCTCCGAAAAGCATGTACAAAACTCATGCGCATGCGTATGAAGTAA